AAAGGAAAAAGTATATTTTGACGAATAAGAATTAATTTGTAAATAACTGCTTTTTGTCTTGACCCTAACAAATAGTTCCGGGATTCGACCTGACGCAGCACCATTGTTCATATGCCTCTACTAACGTTTGAAATTCTTTTTCGAGGCCTGTTCACGACCTTTATTCAGTGCTAAACTGCGCACAATTTAAAATTCTAGGAATGAACTTAGTATATGTATTATTAGTTCTTTACTCAACGCCTGTGTGTGTGCCAAGTAACTACCCAGGTGTGCTACGTTGAGGATGTGCGACAATTTGGGTTGAGCACGACAAGAAGTGCGCTGACTTCTAACTTATCGCGAGTATTTTAATTTTTAAATTTAAGCTTATCGTTAACAAGCTATTTAGTTCCTTTGTGAGCTTGACTTATAATGTAATGCAGTTTTATATTATGTGATTATTTCGGTAATCTTTGCTACCCTTTTACATACAGTACTATATTATTTCATATATTTCACAATTTTATGGTGGAACTGCACTTAGTAAATTAATTATTAAAACTAGACATGATCCTATTAACTACCAAGTATTAGAGAACCCTGATAACTGTAGAGTTGAATATGCACCCATATTATCTGCTCATGTCTCCAGATCGACTTTCATTAAACCGAATGAGTTCTGAAGCCGAGGCATATCATTAAATTAATTATTAACTTTATTTGTCCACGCTAGGAACAACACAATAGATTGCAAATATATATCGCAGCGTACCATTATCTTTTTCTTTTTATTAATTTTATTTAATTATTCTAATATTGTTTGTTTAATAAAATTTTTTATTTGTTTTGTATTTTATTTAATATAATACTTTAGTAATAAAGTAACATTTTTCACACACATGTATGCAATAAAACATTAGCCATAGCATCATATCTTTGTAAATGTTATTATTGTAATATCCTATACATAACATAAAACTTATATATGTTATCAGTTACTCATTTGATTGTCAATAATAGTCAACTACTAGTTTAATTAATTTAATATTATTTCATTTTAAAAAGTATATTTAATAAAAATATTAAACATTATTTTAAGAGTATTGTCTTGAAAGTTTCCAATCTAAACTATATCGTGCGACTCATCGAAACTTTTACCATGGCAGGTTTAACAAATGGATATATTCTAAAACATATAGTTATATTTGAACATAAAACCAAATGAAGCATAGTTTACAAAGCATTTTACTGCATCGAAAAAGGGGAATATCCATTAAATTTCTATCACTTATTGTACTTCTTCGCAGCACTAAAAAATGACTGAATGAGAAAAAAGTAATCTGACAAATATATCAATACTGTGATTGCCAAGATTTATTAAATTTAAAACAGATACGCTTCTACTTTTATACTGCCTTTCATTATATAAAGGTTCCTAGGGCGATTGAGTCGATCAGATCGGACGATCGTATCTAGCACAGCACATCCCTTCGATTAGGAAATCAAAAGGTCAGTTATCTGTATAACAGCTATAACAGCAACAACATATTTGGGTTATGTTTCGTAGTTTCGTATTAGTAATCCAGCGAGGATGGTGGTACAGGTACTCTTCACACTTCGCACTTTCAATTGATATGATAGTGCGTGTTTACTGATAATTTGCTATAAATTAGGTGTTCCATATTTGAAACGAGCTTCTAATAAATATTCTAATAAAATTTACTAACAGATAGAAAAAGTATTTATAACAATTTTCTAGTTTCTGATTAAAATGCAAAACTTTTAAAATGAATTGAAGAAGCACCGGAATTAAAATATTTAAAATGTGAGTTGGAAGGTCGGAAATGTTTGCTTTTGTTTTAGTGTAATTATCTAGTTAACCCTATGCTTGAACTAAGAAACAAATTTATTTACTTGAAAGTTACATACATGTACATATGTATATGTATTTAGTATTTCAAGAAAATCATTTGGTATTAATTTATTTTTACAAAATAACTGAATTTTATAATGGATATCTGGTTATAAATTTGGTTTCGATATGTAGAATTATTATTGATACTAGAGTAATCAAGAACATAAGTAATAGCCCATATCTTTCGTCGTTTGTCCTTTTCTGATAAGTGAATCACATCAATGAATACATTTTGTAAATATCACGATCAATTGATCTGAGTTAGACTTTAAACTGAAGAAGAGATGAAAGTCTAGACGCACAGTTACAATATTTTGCAACAAATGTGCAATATGAATAATCACCAAATTTTACATCGGAATTTATGTAATGAGTTCTTTTAAGTTGTAGTTTGGAACACTAAGAAAGCTATAAACAGTGAACACTTTAGTCGACATAGCTACGTATATATGTATGTATATACGTGTCAGTTGTGAAATAGTAGAGTTTTATTTTTGAAATCATATGATTAATAACTCCAATATATATTTTATTTAATCAATCTTGTTTAATAATTTTATTCTAGTCCTATTAAATAATATTGAATAATACTGAAGTTGTGTGTGTTTAAGTAATCAATAGAACCTTAAATGACAAGTCGTCTTAGTTCTTTAGAGTAATCTCAAGTTATTTTTGTTAATAAATTACTATTTTTTGTTATTAAGTAATATGTAATATTTTAATGAGTATCGACCGTAGTTAATGTTGATAGATTTGATTATTACAAAAAATTATTAGAATTTAGATCTATCGATTTCATATTAAATTATATTACACATTTCTATTATATATACACGTATATATATATATATATAATATTATATATATATAATTATATATATATATATATATATATATATATATATATATATACTGAGTTTTGTACAAATGATGTAAATATTTGTGGTAGTAATTTGAATTTAAAACATTTAACTTTTAACTCTGATCTACAGATGCATTTCATTTTAATAATCTTGATAAATTCTTTCGACGGTTCAAGTTATTGTGTTAATGAGAAACAAATTTCTAAGACTTTCTAGTATTAAAAATTAAATTAATCTTTATTTACGCTTTTTGTCGATTTTTAAAAACTGAAATTATATTATATATATATATATATATATATAGGTTGCTTTGTATACCATCCTTCCTTCCTTTAACTTCCTGAGATGATTTCTAAATCTAAAAAAGGAAAAAAAAACATATTGGTTTGGTGTTTTATTTTTAATATTTACCGAGATATATGATATGTACCCGAAAAAAAACAGTCAAATAATTTTTAATGTCTCAATAATGGATAAAAACAGCTTAAAATATATACTAACTTTTAGTTCACTTAATATTATTTAAATATGATGGTTAATATGTCACTTGAGTTTGGAAATTATGACGGAATGTTGATTTTTCCAGAAAACCTCATTATTATCATATTTTTTGTAATATCTATTATCCAACGTACTCCGACGTTTGAAAGTTGTCTTGTGTTGGAAGATAGTAGAGATAAAATATATGATTTTTTCAATAACATATACGGCAAAAGAACTTCCTTTATCTTACAGTTTGAAGTCTCGTCATTCTGATTTATTATTTTTTTTTTCTCGTTTTAGTCTTTTAAAATCATTTTTTCTACTTTAAACTCAGATTAGCAATAGTTAAACAGATTTAAGTATATTAAATATGAAATCTGATAGCAAATCTTCACTCTTTTCTTCACTGGCCACTGAGTAGATGTATCACTATACCAACTGCTTTATATTGCTACATTTGAAAACCGATTATTTGGCATATTTTTATTAACTAAATTTCCTCAATCTCTTCATAATAACTATTTTCTTACCATTGTGTACTTATTCACTATCTCTACAGTCAACTTAGATAGATTTATTATTGGTCTGAAAGTATCTATTTGATTTATAATTACCTATTTGATAATAATTACACTTTATAAATCGCAGTATTTGGCTGCAATGAAAATCTAAGTTTTTTGTCTGAAGTGCTCTTTAGCAATGCTGTTTTGCGAAGCTAAAAGAACCTACAGTACAGAAGACACGAATGGATTCCATTCGAGTACACCGGTAAGAATAGTATCTAGAAAGGATTTAATTAGTGTGTGGTTAGTGGTATAAGAACAGATGGGAAAAATCATAAAGATATAAGTACAATAAATAAGAACTTGCACTCCTACGAGTCCTCATAAGTCTTTCTTAAAGAACACTGCTAATAATATACATTTATATTTTGACCTTCCTTTATTTAAAGTTTATGAATTGTGTTAAAGATTCATTCACTTCTTTTCTCTTCATATAATATATATTTTATTATTTACCACTTAAATCATGGAGATGAGGTGTATAATTTAAAATGTATATTCTTTCCATTGGAATTATCGCTTTGAAATGCTTCATAAGCATCATTAACACCACTTCGAACGCAGTAACAACTTAATTACAATTTATTTCTGGGGTAATTAGTCTCTTTGACAATTTATTTAATGCGCGCCATATAATCTGGTTTTTCTAAATGTTAATTCCAATCACTTGTTATCCATTCCATTATCTATAAAATTGATTTAAGTTTATGTTGAATGAACATAAGAGACTTCAATTTTCCGAGGTTTATTTATGTTAACCTCGATGTACAAAAAAACCTAATCGTGTACCACTGTTAATTACAGCTTTGCTTTTTTAGTGAATAATCTTTCAAACGTTCCTTCTGTTCGTATCAAATTTGTGCGCAGGGCAAGATTAACCAGTGCAGTTCCATATTTTTTTGTGTGTGCAATAGACTTATTGTAAATCATTTTAAATATTTTTATTTCGTGTTAATTACAGCAACTACCTTGAAATATACCTAGATCATCATTTTTTTTTTTAACTTCTGCGTTTCAATGGTCCATAGTTATGAGGACATAATTGCTCAATGTACAGGACCATATTGTACAGACCATTTTGCTGATTAAAAGAGTTTACGAAATAATCCATGTTTAAATAGCAATAATTTAATCAATGAATGTCGCCATCTATTTTATCGTAAGTAGTTGATGTACCTATATACATAAATTATACTAATATTTCACAGTCATGCAACCTATCCTAGATATAAAATATATTGAACATATAATATATATATATTTTAAGAAAAATAACAGCTTTGGTACAATTTTTCGTTTTATTTCGCTTATATTACATTTACATAAATTGATATTTTGTTTTATATCAATTTGCATTATTTTAATGTATAAACTAATCGTTAGCATATTAATCTTCTCGTTTAAACACAAAGTTTTTTATTAAGTCATTTATATTTTTATTTTAAACTTTGAATATCTTCATTCACAGTTTTCAAGTTAATTTAATTATTACTTATTGTTTAACATAGGTCATTAGAGATTAGACTTCTTTATACCCCCCAAAAATGCTATATTACTTCTTGGTTTTTGTATTTATTTCGGTTTTGTTGGTGTTTTATCTTACGACACATAAATTAGAAAAATAATTTTTTGTTTTTGAATTTCTCTTACCAATTTTGTTAAATTTTTTGGGATATTTTTACTTTGCAAATCAAATACATTTAAGGTTCTTTGCTTATCTTTTTAATATAATTTATTTAACAACGAGCTAATAATTCTATGTTTGTTTTTTTTTTATATTTTTTTTTTTTTGTTGAATTTTTTTAAAGATTGTTGGCGAATATTACAAATTTCTTGAGTTATACATCTTATTTAAAGTCCGTGCTATTGGTTTTATATCATTCGCGAACAACCCAGGAATATCAAGAGCTGGTGATAACAATTTTCAATAATTTGGCGCATTGTTGTTGTTAGGTCTTGGATGTACTCTAAAACAAATAAAATGCTTGCTTAAAAATTTGTACTTCATAAATACATTTCTTAAGTGACTACCTTTTATACTGCTCTTTCCACCTTTTTGTTGTATGTTTAATACAATTACAACGTGCGCCTCAACTTCATTGGGTTTGAAATTGTGGCATTGCTGTGCTATACATCATTTGAGGAGCTAAAGATCCATTTGCAGCTGCTGCAGCAGCAGCTGCTGAAGCCGCGGCAGCAGTTACGCCTGGTACTACTGCTCCAGGTACACCCCAGGCAACATTTGGCTGTACCATACGGTAACCAGCAGCTATAAATAAAATGAAACTTTGCTTTTAGTATTTATGTTAAAAGTATCACGATCAAATTTACCTCCAGCTTGTTGAGCACTAGTGTACGCGGCGGCAGCATATGGATAATATCCTTGTTGCATATACTGAGCAGGCATTTGCGCTGCAGGATACCCCTATAACGCATAAAATAATAAATTACAAATTTATTTTGAATAAAGGATGAAAATGTTTAACTATTTCATTTTAAATTTACCGCTGGTTGATACCAGTATCCCATTTGTTGGTATGCTGCTGCTGTGTAAGGGTATTGAGCCGCAGCAGCTGCTGCAGCAATTTGTTGCTGATATGTTGACGGGCAAAATGGACTTCCGTTCGGGGTAGTATTAGCTGTGACTGGTGTATTTGTCATTTGTGCCGGTGGGGAAGGATGTGTTGCTACTACAGTATTTCCCATTGTTTGTTGCGGTGCGTATCCACCGTTTTCCTTTCCCCAAAAACATTTCACTTGGCTTCCAAGTACTTCAGATGTTTGTGTATGCTCTATAGCACGAGCAGCAGATTCTTTTTGAACAAATTTAATGAAAGCATATCCTTTATCTTTGAAAACGCGTACATCTTGAATTGGACCAAATTGTATAAAATGTTTTTGTATCACTTCGTCGCTTATCACGTTAGGCGGAAACCCGCCACAATATACAGTTGTGTTTGTGGGGCTTGACTGATTGAACACATCCTCAAAGGTCTGTCGATTGTTAGATTTTATACCACCTTGCATGTTTCCTGGTTTAGGAGTTTCACGTGGTGGTGGTAGTTTACGTGTTGACCAATTCGTACGTATCGAACGAGACCCAATCCACTGACCATTCATAGCAGTTATTGCATTTTCGGCTTCTGCCTTTTTTACAAATGAGACAAACGCATAACCACGAGATTTCATTGTCTGAGGATCACGTACAATACGACAGTTGGAAATTTCGCCAAATGGTGCAAAAGCTTCCCTCAGTGTTTCAGTTTCTATTTCAGGACTAAGATCTCCAACAAATATATGATGATGAGAACTTATATCTGTTTTTGGCTGATTGCCAGGACTAGAGGCCCAATTAACCTAATATTGATTTGATATTAATACAATTTCATACTATTATTATAAAGTCAATTACAATAAATTTTACCTTAATTTCCTTATCGAGAAACAAACGTTTATTCATAGCTGTCAATGCAGTTGTCGCTGCTTGATAAGTTGTATACTCAATAAAAGCGTACGGATCATTTCCCGGTTCACGTATAATTTTACAGTTTTTAACTGGTCCCATTGAACTAAATAGTGCAATCAGTAATTCTTCTGAAACCGATGCATCTAAATTTCCAACGTAGAGGGTTTTAGGCTGAGAATCATCCATGATTGTTGATTTTGTGATGAAAGTTTATTTAGAATAAGCTTATCTCCGTGAGGAGCTAAATAATCCTTTCAAATTAACTGATGTCTTATATATTTTGAATATTCAATTGAATATTATTTATGAAAACGAAAAGTTTTAACAATGTCCGAAATATTTGCGTCAATTAGAATACTTCGTTGATTTATATACTTTTGCATATGTTTATAAAATACATATAGATATATATTATTATATATATTGTTAAAAGTATAATTTAAGTATTAAATTTAATATTTGAAGTATAAAAATACTTTGTTTTTGTCAGATTTCAATGAGAGTAGTTGATTAAACTATCCAAAGCATTGATTCTTACTTTATATTAATGTTCTATTTTACATTATATAATAAATATATGGTATAAATTATTTTAATCTCTATCTATACGGTAATGGAGTGTAGCGAAACTTATCATTGCTTTCGTTTCTATTTGGTGCAGGAGTAAGCCTTTTTCTCCTATCAATACTCATAGAATTCTATTAGGTCAGTACTTTCGACAATCGTTGTAGACTCTCTGTGTTGATTAAGTGCGTTAAAATCGTTTGCTACTTTACACGACGAAAGTTAATGAGCAGATTACCTATTCAGCTCGATCTGCAAAGAATAACAAATAATTAAATAATAATAGCAGTAAATTTAAAAAATAAAAATAAAAAACAATACGTTTAAAATATTCTTTGATATGTGTGATGTCATGTTAGGTTGAAGTGAGTTTCTCTTTTATAAGGATTAGAAACTACGTATACTTAAATATATCTAAAAAAAATAGTTAAAGTTTTAACCATATCCATAAATTTATCATAGATATATTGTGTATCCAATTTAAAGATTTTGTAATATATATCAAATTACTAATCAAATATAAAAATAAGAGAAATATGTAACTTTAATTAGTAAATCAATTAAGATGTATGAAAATTATAGCCAATTTTACTTTGGCTATGGTTACAAATTTATGTTGTTTAGTATTGGTCTAGTTATATATGTGGATTCGAATTAGTAGCCAAATTTAATGATGGGCTATGGACTGAAATCTTTGACGCAGCCCTTCGTAATTTAGAGTTTTGTGACATAATTTCAGTCTTCAGAGAATCTACGAATATACATTATACTGTGAAAGATATTGGTTACGTATATATATAAAAAATATATATGGCAGAATTTTTAAAAAAAGAAATTAATTTTTTATAAAATAATATGAAAATGAATATACCACGCCTTGATGTTAAATATAGATCCTTAAATAGCTATTGAAGTTGCGAAGATACCGATGCAATCACATTGATATTTCAAAAAAAATTATTTCAAGTTTACATTATTATCGCTGGCATAATTTGCGGCAGAAATCACAAAAAAAAATGTTAAAAAAAAGTAGGTAGGTAATTAACAAGGAAACCTTTTTATATCGAGTACCACTCCACATACAAAGAACAATGACATTGGTAAAAGGATTTGCATAGTCACAAAATTAAAGCAAATCACAATCAATTTTAAATCAAGCTTCATTTTTTTAAGTTTAATCTTACATTTTATTTACTAGTTTAATAAGGATTTATTCACGACTTCACATATATTTAATTAAATCTTACAATTACAAGGAAGGAGAATTAACACAGAACGGAATCAACTAGAATGAACAGCCGCGATGACAAAAAAAAAATGGAGAAAAGAGAGATGCCAAAATGAATTGAATTTGCAAACCGGGAAAGGGAGTATTGCCATCGCACTCCTTACTGTTGTTTCTTGTACATAAGTCATTAAAATGAGCAGTACAAATATATACATCGTTGAAGTAAAAAACGCGCATTAACAGAGTTGCATGATTTACATCTGTTATTTTTACGAGTTACCTTAAATATCACCTAATATAAAATATATATTATATATACAAATATTACAAACATATATAATTTAATTTGATAAAATTTTAATATTCACCACTATTTAATTATTCAGATAAGCACATGATTAATAGACATTTCAAATTTATAGTTGCAGTCAATATAACTGAAGAGTATATATAATTTGCAATACTGCATGCAATATTATGTGTGGTAAAATACAAACTTATATACAATACTAAAGAATTTCCGAAGGTTAGTAATTAATTATTTAGGCACATTATATTGGATTAACTTTATTAAAAAAAAAAACTTAATACATACTGAAATAATACAACTCTGCTTGCAGCAACAATAAATTTTTTGTTCTTTCTTTCACCGACATTTACCCTTCGCTTCATAATTTAATCAAAAAGGTGGCACTTTTCTCCTTAACCAATTTATATTTTTTTATGCTATTTCCCAAACCCAATTAAAATATGTTTTATATTATAATTCACAAGTAAACTAATTTAACCTTTCTCCGTAATTTAATAATTTTATTTCTGCACAAAGATATACCAACCGAACCGATTTCAATTTGTTCTCACTGCACTCAATCACAATTTAATTATACTATGTACTTGTTCGCGTCTACACTGACACCTTACTACTGACAACAAACAAATCGGAGAAAAGAGCAAGTGTTGCAGTGCACCAATTAATAAATGTATAAGGTTGATATCCAACAGCAGAAAGTATCATATTGAGTACATAAATAATTAAAGCTTAGTATTATAATTTAACACATTTATACGTTGTCTATATGAAAATTAACGGCATAAAATAACATAACATAATAAAATAAAATAATAAAGTAACTTCGTACTCGGTAAAGTGACAAAATGACAAAGGTCTGACTGCCCTTTTTAATTCTAATTTGGTAAAGGTGTAAAATTCAACTGCCAACGCAACTAATTATTTGTTAGCTGTATATAAAAGGAAAAAAAAATAATTAAAATAAAACTTATTAATTTATTTAATTTTTAATTTCTGTCAATAGTTCTTCATTGAACTATTGAACTATGCTTTCATTTCAAACTGAAAGCATTTTAAATTTTAAAAAGTATATTGAACACTCTACATATTAATATCACGCACTACGTACACGATTCTCTCAATAATAATCATAAATGTATTGCTTTTGCGTAAAATAAATATGTGAATAGTGAAATAAACCGTTAAAAAAAAATGTGTGCAGATGTTATCTTCTACATCTTTAATTATCCAAAAGTTTTTTAAATGTATTTATGGAATTGCTTTCAGTTGACAAAAATTGAATATTACTATATATGTTGTAAGTATTTAAAATATAGCTTACATATATTCGCGTTTGTCTTTTAGTATTTTTTATATATTAAAATAGGTTAAAAAACTATTCACAAAGTTTTAAAAATTAGTTAAAGGACTTATTACCACTTTTCGTAAAAAATAAATAATTTATCAAGATCAAACTCATTCATTTTTTTTTTTTTTGATGCATTTTGAATTCTTCAAATATACAATATTATAATAAAAAATGTATGTCGACTTTGTACCTTGAAACATTGTACTGCTTGCCAAAGTGATGTTATCAATGCAAAGATTTCAAAGCATTTAAATCCTATGTAAAATGTAGCATTATAATAATATTAAATTAAAATTTAGACAAAATAATAGAAATAAATATAAAAATTTAATATACTTATGTTATATACCAATTTTAACTCTTCGAATGATATAATTTTGAATATTTTCCATAGGAATATAGGTATAAGAGTTTGAATGATTTGTGAAATATATTTCACTATGACAAATAATTGAGCTTTAGGAATAACAATATTTATTGATCATTTTACAATATAATAACTTTAAAATCTAATTACCCTGTACTTGTGCACGAATATATTAAAGGGCAACAATGCAATAGAAATTTTTATTAAAATCGTTAGCAGCTTTATTACGATATCATTGTGATTTGGAATAAAACACCTCCTGTACAAAGAAAATTTATTTAAATTATTATAAAGGTATTCAGGCGTAGCTTGGTAACTGGGTATTCCGTAAAGAGATTAAATGACAAAAATTTGAACATCAATTTTCAATTCTTTCTGGTTGAAGTTGTAAAATTAATCTGTCAAATCAGTGGAAAATAAACGCAAAACAAAATGGCAAAAAAATGTGGAAAAAGTAAAATTAAAGTGAATATTGTTTTTTATATAATTTATTTTTGTTCATATTTCCTTATTACAATCATACACAATGATTAGACATTAATTAATTAATTGTAATTTCAGATGGTTTGTTTCACGAGCTACTCGTAGTATAACTCAAGGCAGTGATGGATGTCAAGTTATTCTATAAATAAGTTGTTCTATTGTAGCATTCATGTCAATAGAATACACCTATATATTAAAAGTGAGGCGAATTGTTTTAACCAGACTAAGTGCTGTTTTTTACAATTCTGAAAGAAAAAATTATGACTAGTTGAAGTACTAGCAAATATTCAATTTTTACTATTATAGCCGTGTGCGAGTTCAAGTAAATTGATGGTTAATTGAGGGAAATAGTAAATTATGTTGATATGGAAACGAATATTGGTATTTACCAGAATTTCGAGTAGATATTAATAAATAAATAAAAAAAACTTGAAAGTTTTTAACCAAAAATAATAAATAAGTGCAATAAATAAATAAATAAATAAATATTTACATAAGTACAGTGCAAAAAATCCCTAGAAAATTTTAATTTACTTTACCTAAATTTATAATAATACAAAACGAATTGATAAACTAGTACATTTTTTTATTCAGTTTAAACAATTGTTTTAATTCTTTCAATATGGCATCCCCTAACAGCTGATTTAGGCTGTTTCAAACAATCTGAGACCTTGAAATATTTAAATAATAAATATTATATTTAAACCAGTATGGGTAAAAATAAAAAAGAGAAAAAATCTAAAAAGAAAAGCAAAAAACATAAGGATCACAAAGAAAAGAAAAAACTTAAGAAACGAATGAAAAATAATATAGAGAAGGTTCGTACTAATGTACAGGACAATGCACCACCATCTTCTGACGGCAATTTTGCCATTCCCATTGGTAAGTATTATGAGTAAAGTAATATACATATAAAATGTTTCATATAATACATTTTTAGAACTAATGAATAGTAAACATCAATGTCCAGAAACTCCAGAAGAATATAAAAAACGACAAAATATAATTCGTCGCGTTGAAGATCCAGTTACAGGTCGAACTCGTCTTATTAAAGGTGATGGTGAAATTCTTGAAGAAATTGTAAGCAAACACAAACATAATGAAATAAACAAAAATGCCACACGGCGGGACGGCCAATATTTTGAGAAAAATACAACGGGGAACACAAATATATGAGCATCACTATCTATTGTTACTGGCAAAATAAAACAATACCCATTTATCCTAAAAATAATTTATTTGATATTGTCACTAATATATATATATATATATATATATATGTATATATATATATTTGAAAACTTAAATGTATATGTATACATATATATATATATATTTATATATTACAATTTCCTATGTTAAATTATAGCTACATAATCACAACAATTTTAAAATGTTATCTTCTAAGTTACATGAATATCCCTTTCCTTTCAGTTCTTTATAAAATATATATATATATAGCTATTTTATAACTAAATATAATACTAATATAAACAAATTTAATTTAGAATATTTGATAGAATAAACTTGTGGCGCCGTCCTGCCATGTTTTGTCCTCACTTTGCTTTGATCTACACATGGGACAAGTTTGCTCCCTTTTAAACCATGTGTTTACACAATCATCACAGAATATATGACCACATTCTAAAGCGATGGGATTATTGTAGTTGTCATGACAAATAGGACAAATTGAACCTGCACTTTCAATTTCAGCTTTAGTAGGTTTATGTTCATAGTCCTGAATTAAAACAAATTTAATATTAATTAATATAGTATTAATATAAGTAAAAATATAAAGTGATATTTATATTACCGCATTTCGCACAAAATGTACTACAGCTTTTTTTAACGATTTTCCACGCCCGAAAATTTCAAACATTTTTGATCCTACATAAAATGCTGCTAACAACATACCTATAATCTAGGAGATAATTACGTTTAGCTAATAAGGTAAAGTACTTTAAAAATTAATATACCATTTCATATCCAATGTACGGTAGCATTAAGAACATTATCCACTGTCTTATAGGTACTACGGAGCGGTAAAATTGAGAAACATACTCTACTACGACCAATAAGCGGGCCTTTAAATGAAAAATTAAGAATGATTACATTTTCCTTTAGTTACTTTAGATATAACTTACCCTTGACTTATGCCTGATAACATTGGTTGGCAACATTGTAATTGTAACTTTTATTAATACAGTAATTAGTTTTAATACGAGATCGTTTACTGCAACATAGTACAAGAGGGTGCCCAAAGAAATTTCTTTTGTAATGGTTAAGGTGTTATTTGTTGTATTTGTACTTAATTGAATATGTTGTAAATTGATACTAAATTTATTAAACAAGTTATTGATCACTCCATTCGTTCCAGGATTATCTGTTGTAAGTAAGTGCTGGTGTTTAACAGATGATAAATCAATTGATATATTTTCCTTTGGTGGCGATATAAGTAAACCTAATGGATCTGAAGTTGACCAAGCCAAGAGAAGTCGGTAAGAGATAACAATTGCTACAATACTCCAATCCCATATTAGCACCTTCATATCTTTTTGCGAGAATTTGGCTACTTGCTTCCTTACGGATTTATTAAGTTTCATTAAGATGATATGAAGCAACACTATATCAAATATTCCCCACAAATGGTCATATATGAATTTCAAAATAAGCATTACAAAATACGGCAGGTAACGTAAAAGTTGACTTAAAAATTTGACTGCAATATCAGCCATCGCACTTGTCTCGTCAGCACCAAATAAATCATTATTTCCTGCATCGTCCCCATTTTGGGGATTTTGGGCATTTTCATTATCATTTTCAATCTGTTGGCGATGTTGAGATGTTCTGTCGAGTAATGCAGTGGAAAATAATGAAGACTCATTTTCATTAGCTGTTCTAATGGGATTGCGTTGTTCTGCGTTTGCTTCGGACTGTTCAAAACGAGGAGGAATGTAACTATTAGATCTTGAAACAACTCTTGCACCATCATTTGATGCGGTTATATCCTGATTTGAGGTTTGCAATGTATCACGTCGGCCAGCTGTGCCTTCACTTGAGCTTAGTGGGGCATAATTATATCGAAAACCACCGGAATGTGTAATGAAAGATCTAATCGCTGCTGTTGATGGCGAAGACGAAAATGATAACATATTATTTAAATTCATACGCCAAGAACGCGGTTGCAACGATTCCATATTTGTAGGCATTCCAGAACTTCGATCGTTTGTCAAAATGCTTGAATCAACAGGAGTTATTGGTAAAAGATTTTGTGATTCTATTTGTGATTGTTGTACCGTTGGACTTTGCGTAGCACTTTGTCGTCCTAATTGCGAACGTGCTTCGTTTATAAATGTTAACAAATTTTGCTGCAGATTTGATGACCGACGAACATTTGCAGATTGTAAACTTATATTCAGAGCGGCATCAGATAATGTGTTCTCGTGCATATCAATCACAAAATCACTAGCATTGCTCAGTCGAGCATTGTTGTCCACTAAATTACCTATATTATTATCCATAACTCAATTAAAAATATATTCTTTATGTACGTTAAATTTCAATATACAGTTTGTAAAAATAAAATGACTGATTTTGACGTTTTATTATTTGACTCTTTTATTTTCATCTAGTTTTCCAATGTTTACAATGTTACCACACTAAATTTTCGATTTTTAAAAATTGCCCCCATATTTGTGTAATTTAATGAGTGCACAATTTGTAGGGATGAGTTTCGCACATCGAGTCAAAGAATAAAATTCAGACAGACTTCTATATTACAATTGAGATAAATCTTAAGAATATAGATTTTATATTTGTATAATACGAGAGTGACAGTGACATGAAGCCAGGGGAACACCACATTAAGAAGCTGAGTGCTCCTCCAAATTGATCGATGATAGAAATCGTTGTCTGCTGTGAAAATCAAGAATATATGTACTACAGTGTATAAGAATATCAACAATTGATGTTGTATTCAATAATTGTTAAAGTCTAATGTTGGAACTTGTTTTCTGACTATAAAGTATATTCTTTCGATTTTGACTAGGCAGAAAATGTCATTAGCCGTGTTAAACTTAATATTTTTGTGTAATTTAGTATCCTTAGGATAATATAGTGTGATTTAAGGTGTTCACTGCTATATTTATAGTAGACATCGAATTAAAATTATTACAAAAAACATAATTATAAAATAATAATATATAAATCAAAACAAAAACTAACGTTTTAAATACATTCATTATTATTATTGTTGTTTCTTTTAGGATTCTTATTGGAGAAGAAATAAAGTTGTAAGGGTTGACTCAGTTCTATCAAGGTTTGGTTTGTTTCCATGGTGAATGGAGTGATGAGAGAGTGAAAATGTGCAAAACAAACCCTAGTTCAGCTGAAAATTGGTAAAAGGTTTAGTGTGTACGTTAACTAGGCTTAAAAACGATTTCTAAAACATTGTGCTCCATACATCAAACTTTTTTTAATGGGTACGTTTTCCATTATGTGCTATAAAACATAATAAAGAAATATTTTAATTATTTAAATAAAAAGTTTAATTTTTATACATTAAATTTTTGGTAAAAAAATGGACGAAGTAAAGTTCATACAATACATTTCTATATTTCTCTAATAAGTAAAATACATGCATATGTATATGCACGTTTATGGTATATATATGGCGTTTATAAATAAGTGGTTTACAGGATTTATAAAGTAAAGAAGAACATATTGTCTTGGATTTAAATGGTTACATTTTATTAAATAAATAGTATAACAATACAATTTTATATATATTTTAAATATTTAAAATTCTTGATGTTGCTGTTAAAGCGATCATTGTTGTTTATCAGTCTGTTTCATCTCTCTCACACTCACACTTCGTCTTCTACTTCCCCTTCTTGTGACTATTTAATAAATTGAATATATACATATTTTTAAAAATGTTTTGAATTACTGCTTTCCATAATTCTCTGTTGCTATATAGCTAACACACAAACAGTACTAATGCTTGATTCCACTTATCATGTTTATTGTTGAATTCCAATAATATCAGTTCAATGAACTGGCATAATGCGTGGAGATAATTTTTTTGTTGAACGCCGTCTTCTTTGTAGAAACATCTTCACTGATTCTAATGGCAGCTGAAAGTGATAGTATGCGCAATACGGTAAAGGATCCCAGTACGCAAATAGTGCTTCACGCTTATCCAATGCAGCCAATGCACTGTGTCTTTCAATAGCGGACCAACGCCAGCTCGCACCAAATGTTGCAAGCGTGGATTCATCTTGGTTATTATTAGCCAAATTGAATTGCTTTCTATGTACACACTTCATAGTCCGACAAAGGATTTGTGCATGCGATCGATTATAGCAGATGTAAGGAAGCGACACTCCAACACGTACGCCGAAAGGTAAAAACTCTTCCGTGCCTTGACATTTAATCAAACGAAAACTAATATGTCCGTTAATGCTACGTTGAAAACGTATTTTTGCAAAAAAGTTTTTTAACCATTTATCAATTTGATTCTCTTCCGATATTTCTGAATTGGTACTTTCCATTTTTCCCACAGGTAGTAGATTTTTAGTATCGTGATCTACTCTACATGTGACATTCGCTACTACTCGAGAATCCTTTACTGTGGTACAAGTTATATAATGTTCACCAGGTAAATCTCTGACTAACAACCACTGATTACGCTCACTGATATCGTGATTAAATTTGAAATCACGTCGGCTGTTGGGTAAAATATATTTATAACGTTCGATTAGTCCCTGCACACCAACTGCTACCAATATATTTCGGAAATTACTGATGAAGCCACTGTCGTACATATTCCAGAGATCGTTGCTTGACGACAACAGTGAATGTGGAGGTAGCGGTATACTTTGTGCTTCACATTTTTGATATAATTGTAAACAGTCATCCAATACAGTTGTTTCTGCAAGTCCAGGTATAAAACTAGCACATCCTAACAGCTCCATATGCGGTTTTGCCAATGCATCATAATAAGCAGGACTGGTGGCACAAACAGGTATATATACAGTGGGCTTCTCTTTTTTAATAATGTGACATAATGCAGCTATGTAACTGTCAACATTATTTAATGATGGTCTAGGTACCACATAAAATTTATCCACTGCTGTTGAAAAACGCGCGAGTCCAAATAAACCATCGAACTCAAATACAACAACACGAGCACCTGATGAGTAAAAATTTCGTGCCAAGTGCAATGTTTGAATTGTACTACCACAACTGATGAGAATTGTACGTTTATTATTTGATGATGCATTTTGTACAGAGACTGCGTCAGAATTTATAATCCATTTCACTAACCCAATGGGTATACGTACCAATTTTAAAAATATCCACAGTAGTGCTGAAAGCCAAAAACTTGGTGCTGCTATGGACAAAGGAATGTAGAGTATAAAACGAACCAGAACCATTATCATGTTAAGTAGCAAATTTGGCCAAAAAAGTAGTACCTTTCGCATGCCATTTGATATGGATAGTGTGGATTTTTGTGCAATTAATTGTCGTCTGTCATCTTTGTTAATTGCGTTGGAGTCCATATCACTTGTTTCGGCTAGACTCTCTTGACTTGGGTCTTCTGGAATTAAGTCCAATGAGTTAATACGTCTAAATTTAGAGCGTGTGAAACGCATTTGTCGCGTTTGATCCTGTTTAATTTGATAATCCTGTAACATTTTATAGTTGCACCAACTTTTTTTAATATTATTCGTCTTAAATTAATCCAGTATTTGTAAAAGCTATTCTCAATAATCTGACAAGATATTGAAGCGTTGATTCGCGCGATCACAATCCACTGAATTGTGCAACAATAATCAATAAGACACTAAATGTTATTCTATGAAGAGCTCATCTTTTAAACTTTGATTATTGGTAGTGAAATTCGTATAGAGCCATTACGGACACTGCTGTACCGCACTACACTGCAAACACGACTACAACTGCTGCTCTCAAAGCTGATAGATTTCTGAATTCCGAGTGATTTCTGGTTTATATATGCACATAATACACATTTTAAGATATTTTATGTATATATAATACATTTAAAAATATATTTAGTTACGGACACATATACCACGTCTGAGTCTACTTTATTAAATAATTTCGATTTACAGACGTGCAATCATTAAATAGATTATTTATGTTTATATAAACATTTATATATATGTATTAGCATTAAAACTTTTCTTCGTTATAAGTCTGGGATTCATGCAATACTGCAACTACAGAAATTGCACATTTACGAGTACGAAACGAGCTCGCAAAGACAGTTTAGTTTCGTCGAACAATATCAGTGCCTTAAAATTTCAGCGATTCGCAGTCTATAATCTCGTACTTTGATCCTAAAGCTGGTGTTGTTATTCAAGTAATTATTTTGCCTAAATGATTTTCTTTTTTCTTTTTTTTTGTTTTTTGTCTTTTGTCTTTGTTTTGTATTTTTATATTAATTTGTATAGTCATATATGGACAGATAGTATATTGTATCACCGCCTTAGTTCCAGTATGTGTTGCTGATAAGACTTTCTGTTGTATCATTTAGCAATTTGCAGGAAAAACACTTGATGCCGTTTGAATAAATAAATAAAAAATACACTACTTCAAAAATCAAAAGGAAATGTAAATATGAAAATTATAGAGAAAGTTAAATATATATATCTCCTATGAATCAGTCGCAACAGGTGCTTTAATGTAGATTTGTTGTCACACACAAGTCATTATTAGATTACAGGTCTTGAGTTTTATATTTTTACAAATAGTGAGATTAACACATTAAATATTATTCAAAGTCTGTTTTGACTTTTTACACATAATCACCTCTATAGTTAACTGATGCTTAAATAATATATAATACTCGTTATGTAATTACAAGTCTATGAATGAAATTTAATAGATAACCTAAATCATAGCTCCTTTCATAGTATAAATCAAACTAATAAACTCCTACAATTTTTTACTTCAGTTGGGAAGTTCGTTATGGATACGGTATGTTATATTGCATGTATTCAAAGTCGGTAATAATGATTTACACTTACCCACCTTCATACTTACTTATACGAAAGTATGAAGTATTAATGGTATTATAAACACTTTAAGAATGTAAAACGCACAATATGCAAAAAATACGTAAATTTGGACTACAAATTTGAATAGCGAATTTTGTCTTGATTTTTCTATAGCTTTCTCTATTCATTACTGTTCTACCAACCTTGTCTTAGATAGGGAATTGATGCATTTATGCGTGACCAGTGACTGCTTTTCATATGGCTACATCCTGATTTCAATCTTGCTGCTCGGTGATTGTGTCGATCTTTCTGGGAAATGTTGGGCGGGGTCCTATTGAGAATTTTGTGGTCTCCGTGGTATCGAAGAGGATAGTGCATCAGTGTAGTTCACGCTTATATTCGACCTCACTGGTGTTAGCTACATTCCAATCGGTGTCGATATATCATGTGCTTACATAGTTAACATTTACGTTGTCGGTTCGGAATTTAACAATTAATTTGGAAATATTTTTTTAAAAAATTGAGTTTTAGTGTATCGCTTCAATAGCTTGACCATTGCAGTTCCTTTCAGGCAGAAGTAATGGCAATTCACTGAGCAGCAGCAAAGTGGGTCTTGAGCTATAGCATTTCTAACATGATTATCACAATCTTTTCAAATAACCACGCTGCAATTAAATCTCTGATAGTTATTTCAGCGGCTTATCTTGAGTTCTAGAATTCTAGCTCTAGAATGCCGGGCTTCTCTCAATGAGTTGTGTAGACTTGTCGGTTGTCTCGGGCAACTGTGAAGTAAACGACCTTGTCGATTTAGGCACACTATTCTGTGATATTCACACTGTTAACAAATAAATAAAGTAAATGCTTGCGATAGATATCAGTATTCTAAATATATAAGATACTAGTAGATGACCCGGCGAACTCTGTTCCGCCTTAAAGGCAATAAATAAGCAGTTTTTTTTTAATTGGAAAAAATACAAAAAAAAAAAATACCTACATTAATCATTCATAATTTATTTGTGTATTTTAGTACACATCGCAAATTATCTATTTGTTGACCTCTGTTGTTCGCTCGACCTTCAGTCCTTAAATTTGCAGTATTTCGTATTCTTCTTGCATTACGGCTTTGTCGGGAAAGATTCGATCGTCTTGGTCGCGGCATTATTAAAAAACTAAAAACTCAAATTTTCAACCATACCATACATTAAAATTGTTAATTATTTATTTTGTTGAGTTTGCAACAACCAGGTAGTTTTATTGATTAAAAACGATATTTATTGCAACACAAACTTATATTGATCTAATACAACTTTTAAAAACACATTAACTAAGTTATATTTCTATCTGTTAAATTTTAATAAAATATTTTAATAAAGTATTAGTATTGCTGTTAAGCTAGACTTACTTTGTATAGGGACAAAGAAGCTTTATTAAATTTTAGAGGAATTTTTAGAATAACATAGCATAGCTTCTTTGTAAAAGCACCAGAATGGTCGCTTTACATATAGTAAGTAAAAAATATGCATTACAAAATGTCTCTACAAAAAGAGTAGCTTTGAAAAGAAATAAAGAATTAGCAAACCCAAAAAGTTAAACTTTCAATTCGTTGAACTTGTGTTTCCAAAATAAAGCTGTAGTTTTTAAGCTCGTTCTAATTTAAAGCACGGCAAGTGCTTTGGTTGTTGTCACTAATTAAATAAAAATAAGTGACAATAAAACCTGGAACTTGAGCATTGAAAGTTTGTGCAGCCTTGACTTCTTGTGGATAACACGATTAGTCATCGCTTCTAATTTGACAGGCACGAGTTCTAAGCCTGGCATTTGCAGTCTAAACAAATTATATACGGGACTATAAAACTAATTAAATAAAATTTCGATTATTTCCCAAAGACCACTGATTGAAGAGTACTTGGCAATACTCGAAACAGCGTTGTATGGTCAGCCGAACTTCAATAAAATTAAAAATAAATTTTTGTGTTTGTACTTTATTTTTTTCTTTGCTATTCGAAAATTCCAATAAAATATTTTCTTATATCAAAAATTTGATAATTTCAAAACCTACTTTGTCGTGAACGGGATAAACAGGTATCCTATGTCCTTCTCCTGGCCTTAAACTACCTCCCTGCCAATTTTCAGCTAAATCGGTTCAGCCTATATCCTTCTCCTGGCCTTAAACTACCTCCCTGCCAATTTTCAGCTAAATCGGTTCAGCCGTTCTTGAGTTATAAGTGGTGTAACAAAAACACATCTTTC